ATTACTACAATAAGCGTGCGATTTAAAAAATAAACAAAAAATGTAAATGAAGAAAAAATAACAAGATGTAATTATAGTGTTAAAAAACTTAATGTGCACTATATTTTTTAAAGAAAAAAATTATATCAATTCATATAACTAGAAACGCAACGACAATAGTTATTTTTTCGCGATCTACTCTGAGTGAAAAATACAATAAGAAAGGTGCGAGATGAAAACGCAATGCAAAAGGTGTCAGTTATATGTCGACTGCAACTCCCGAGACTCACTTGTTCATTTGTTCTATGAGGATTTGCTTCCACTTCTGGACTGACTTCTCGTAAGAGGCTTTCCGCCAGCTCTTCAAATCGCTCGGCATCGGCGCTTTGGAAAACGCTGAACAATTCTTCAAAAGGAAGTATAGAGTCAGAAATTTCAGCAGCGCGGTTGCTCCTGGCGTCCGTGTCGGGCGCAATGCCGACTGTGCTGTCCCACCCTGCGGCAGAGGGTCATTGAGGGATACTGCAGATCCCAGCGAAGGTACAGCACCGTCGACACGGGTCCGACAGGCGGAGCAGATCGGTTGTTGTTGATCTGTGAGCGTGTTCCTCACTGCGTCCCTTTCATTTCTAAGCCTCTTATTTTCGTTCAACAGCCATTCGTTCTGCGACGTCAGTAGTTCATTCTGTGACCTCAGCATCGCACACTCTTGTGTAAGCAGTTCATTCCTTTCCTTCTGTGCCCTCACTGTTTCCTCAAGCTCGTCCAATCTGGCTTTTTTGCGATCTCGCGAGGTTTGAGCGGCCACTCGATTCTTCAATTTTCTGCCGGACAAAGAGAATGTCGACGTTAAATAGAGAAATAAATGAGCAAGAAAATAATCAAGATGATCATAAATTTTCTCTTATCTAAAGAACAAAAAAAATTAATTATTTCTACAAAAATTTATACAAGAAAAAATTAAAACTTTCTAATTAAAAATTTGAAAAATCTCAAATTTGTGCGTTATTGTTTTTATCATTTTAATAAGAAATTCAAATAAAACTGTTCATACTTTATTAGTATGATCGAAAAAAATGTTTCTTTGTATTAAAATCTATTTTGTTTTTTTAATATACGATCCAATATTGTTTCTCGTTTCATTATTTTTTTTACGAATAATTCATTTATAATTAGAAATATTGAAACAACTGCTACTAGTAGATTATTCCATCAACACATTATTTCCGCGCGCGCGCGGATGTTCGCATACAGAAATTATCATGTAATTGCATTTACGTCAATAGAAACGAATCATCAAAGTGACGCGTAACAAGCAGGTGGTCGCATTATTGCGCGGTAAATATTTCGCAAAAAAGTTATTTCTATTCGCGAAATGAGCACTTTGTATGATACATCCATGAGTCTCGTATAAATATTTTTCACAATTTTGAAGGCCGGAGCACCTTCGTATAACGTACGATGTATAAAGACACACTGAACCAGTCCTTCATTAAATAGAAAGATGATCCTGATCAGTCAATTCTCTCATGGGCTTTCTACAATAAGTGATTTCCTAAACTTTAAATCTTAAGCCATAAGAAATTGATTAATCATAGTCGATTGTTCTTCTCACATCCGATTAGAATAATCATTTCTTATGGCTTAAGATTTAAATTTCAGATAATGGCTTATTGTATTATAGAAAGCCTATTATATTTTATAGATAATGTAAAGGTCTGTGCTCAAGCTTTAATTTTGAAAACAAATTCATTCAGAAATACCGTTTGATATTACTGCTGTTGATAAGCTGATAAATCTTATCTACAAGCGGAGGTCTGTTTTTAGCGAAACAAAAACAATTTGTGGATAAGCCAAGCTGATAAACGTCAATCAGTTGCCATAATATGTTGATACAAGTTACTCTGACTGATGTAATTCTATATAGAATAAACTTTTGGATTATGAAATAATCTATTCTATTTTAACAACAGGTATGTTTGTGTTGCTTGAAATCTCCAAAAATCTTTAAGATAAATACATATCAGAGTTGAAAAGAGAAAAAGCAAAGATTCTGAATGTAAAAAGTATAATGTCAATAATCTTATTTAAATTAAACAGAGAATTATAGGCTGTCAACATTTCCATTTGACACTCGCAACACTTGGAATTATTTTATCCTTATTCACATGCTAAATAAAAACAAACAATACTCGCGAGTAAGCGTGAAGCGGACGCCATTCTTAGAAATACACAAAATTATAAAATGTATAAGGATGGTGATCCCGAATTTTTTTTCGAATCCTTACGAAGCTTAACTCGAAACTTTCAAAAATTTGAATCATTAAAGTTGCCAAAAGTAATCCTTGATAACTGGATTCTCTCGCTTACTTTCGTTGCAGCTTTTCCTCCCACGTCAAATGATCCAGTCGGCGTTTCTTCCCGCGCACGCGGGTGTCTACAGGCTCGAGGAGCGTCGCAACGTCGTCATCGTGCATCTCCTCCTGCTGATCAGACACGACCTTCCTGTTGTCCATCCTTGCTTTGTCCACCAGAATTGACGTGAAGTTCAGCTTGGGCAGCGAGTTGCGCGACGGCTCGCTCCTCGAGATCGCCTTGGGCACTCCCTTAGGCAGGGTGATTATGACACTCTTCACGGAGCTCATAATCCGCCATGCGACGTGACGCGACGCGTCCTACTTTCTCGGTGTATTCTTTAACTTCTGGCCACTTGCGCTACCACGACAACCTCCGTGTCTACGATCGCGTCGATCTTTCGATGATATATCCAGCTCCAGTCTGGATTTCGACTGATACCAGCCTGAGCGAAACACCAAGTCTAACCACCCTACGACGCAACTGACGCGAACAAACTGATGCAATGGACTGACTCTCAGTTGTCACCATCGCCATCAAAGCACGTGTCGTGCCACGATTGGCCGAGCGTGAGGATCTTCTTGCCAATCATCGCTGGTCTGTTTCTGTTCACCGCTCGATGCGGCTAACTTCGTGCGTCACTGCCGTCACTCCGTATCCGGGGCCCGGGGTTCTCAAATCACGGATCTCTTTTTATGCATTCCTTCGCGGGATTCAATGTAAAAGAAACGAAATGAATAACCGTTTTTATTTACAAACGCAACAAAAATCGAATCCTTTGATAATAAGAATAGGAGCCCTTTTGGGAAAGATAAGATGTGGATTATTGATTCTTTGAATCAGCAATACATATTGCAGTCCCCGATTTTAAGAATCTCTGTTTCAAATGACTGTACGGTTCACGTATTTTTCTTTAGATGACGGATATGTCTGAGCGCCTTCATAAAGCCGCCTTATTGGCTTTGTTGTGCATCATATTGCTAGTATGTTACATCAGAATTGTTAAAAGTAGCTAAATAACTTTTGCGTTTTGTAAAAAATTAACGTAATGGGGTAAAATAATTTAATAGAAGGCTCAACAAGTATAAATCTATTAACCAAATAATAATATTGAAACAATGATAAAAGCATGGTTTGTATAAAAGCAAAGTAGGAAATGTAAAAAAGGCAAAAGAAAGTAAAGAAGCAATAATAAGAGGCAATAAACGATGCATAATAAATATAACTTGTGAAAACATTCTTTTTTATTAGGAAAAATATTCTTTTTTTATTATATGTTTCACAATATGTTGTAATAACTTTATAATCTAACATCTTTATATCTTTATGTACGATTTAATTAGACAAGTCTACTATACTTTAATTTATCTGTGGATTTTTTCAATGATTTTCTGTCTACTGGCATCTTTTCTCACAAAAAATTATTTAATTATACATTTGTTATTGCCATTTCATTTTTTCCTTGATTAACACTAAATAAAAAGTATCTGATTTAACAATAGAATTCTAAGCCTTAAGCCATAAGAAATGGACGAATCATAATTGATTGTTCTCCTCGAATTCGACTGTAATTAGTTAATTTCTTATGGCTTAAGGCTTAAAACACCTATTGTAGATCCGGAGTAAGGAGATTGCTCATCAATGGTTTAGCAATTTGGTTAATGCAACTTATTGTGTATTAAATTATTGTGTATAAAATGTTTTAATATTTATAGAATATAAGTATCAGATTTTTTACGGAAAGCTTAAAATTCACAAAAAGGTTATAATTTTTAATTGTTTGTAATTCAAATACATATTCTATATGTCACAATATTTGTCATTGGGAGAACAAAAAAGTACACATTTTATAAAAGACGTATTTCATATTTATACGACCTTGAAACACATTTACATAATATTTATATTATCTGGCACTATATCTCGTAGAATGTAGTCAGTATCCGGGGATCTTTAGAGGAACAAAACGACGATCGCGATTACGTTAATGTATTCCTGATATTAATTGCTCGAGACGATAACTGTATGTATAATCTCAATTAATTATAATTTATTCTATTTTAATCGGTACACAGATAATACCAACTAAGTTGTCAAAAAAGATATTAATTAAGTAAATATATATTTATCTTTCGTCAATCACATAAACAATACTCTCTAAAACTTTCAGAGAAAAATGTTATTATATTATATATGTTATAAAACTGAGCTATCCTTTTTCAAGACTCTAGCTTTTTTCAAAATTAGACTTTTCAGGACTTCAGATGTGTAAAATGAATCTTTATATAAAATTTTCAAAGTTATTATTAAATATCGGCCTAATACTAGCTACAAATATAGTTTTTTGTATCGATGATGATTTACAAGTTATCCATCGTTTACCCAACAACACTATACCTGTTCATTATAACATTAATCTGACATTGCATCTTGAGGAAGGCAACTTTATTTTTTATGGTGAATCCAATGTCAATATCGAAATTCGTTTTGCTTCATCACAAATAAGCTTACACTCCAGAGAATTAGAAATCAATGAAACGGCGACAACGTTGGTTAATGATAAAAATACAGTTTATAAACCGATGGAATATACTTACGACACTGTAACAAATATTTTGATACTTTATTTCGATCATGAATTATCACCGAGTTTCTATACTCTTAATATGAGATTTACTGGTAATCTATCTGAGACTGATTCTCTAAAGACTGGTTTTTTAAAATTTCCATATACAAACAAAGAAGGAAACAGCACGTAAGTAAAAAATGTCATTTTTAACTATTTTCTTTTATTTTTATCACTATTGTTATAGTGTAAGGATTGATGAAATGTTACTCAAACTTATAACTTTGCTATTATTAAAAACGTTTTTTAACATATAATACAATATAATACCACGGAAAAAATTTTCTCTTAAAAAACCTTTGAAAATATGGTAGTTGTGGTACATACAATATTTGAATATAATATTTTAAGGATTTTTACCATGGATTTCAATAAAATTGATCAAAATTATTTTATATTTTATTGTAATAATATTATTGATGAACGAGAGAAATTTTTACATTAAATTCTTCGAAATACATGTTGTTCCACGATGTTTATCACATTTTATCAGGATAAATTCCAAGAAAAAATTTTCTCCGTAAATATATACCTATATAATTACAATGTAGTATATAAAAAATATATACATATATATTTGGAAGGTAAATTTTAATTCAAATTAAAAAATAATTTGGCTACACATCACTTTTTGGTCCTAACTCTTAACAAAATTATTATTATTATAACATAATAATAAAAAATAACCATAATGTTTCGTAAATACTGATGTTATCCATCATAAACTGTAAATTTTCCATAATTTTAATTATCTAATTAAATTGTAGATGGCTCGCGGCAACGCATTTCGAGCCGGACGGAGCCAGACAAGTGTTTCCGTGTTGGGATGAGCCAGCATTAAAAGCTACCTTCAATATCTCTATAATGCATCATCAGAAATATATGGTATTGTCAAATATGCCAAGACGGAAGGTATCCATAGAACTAAATGACATGATATGGACACATTTTTATACCACTCCTATAATGTCTACTTACCTCGTGGTAATTGTGGCAATCATCCAGTCCGATTATGTCACGATTATCAATAAAAACGAGAATATCAGTATGTTGTGTAGGTCATCTTTGACATCGCAAGTAACATTCGCACATAGTATTGTTGAAAGGATCATGCCATTCTTGATTCAATACACTAATAATTCCGAAAAAGTACCAAAAGTGGATAACATCTTGATACCAAATTTTCCGGTTGAAGGCATGGAAAATTGGGGACTCATTATGTACAGGTAATGTACATAATTCAAGAGAATTTAATTTGAAACAAGTTAGGCTATTAAAGCTATCAATGTTATTTTAACATTTAAAATGTAATAATTAAGATTAAAAACACGTGCATATAGTTTCATAGTTATCCGAAGTATATATATATATATATATATACTTTCATGCTTAAATCGTTTTAAATAATTAAGGAATATAATACATTAATTTTCCTACTGTATTATATTCTCCATTCTTTTAAAAAGGAAAGATTCCATACGTTTGAATTATTTGCATAAGAAAATTATGAATAACATAATTGCTTGGATCACATTAGACTGTATATATGTATATAACTGTATACAGTATATGCGTATACAAGTCTTGTATACAAGCCAATTAGAGTCCCAGCTTTTTACCATATGAGAAAGTTATCGACTGCATATCTAATTATCGACTTACAGTTTAGATTGAATGCGTGGATATGCGAATTGCTGATTCGAGCGCGCAAAAGTATTTAATTCAAATCGATGAAAGAAGAAAATAGAGAACGTAATATTATAATATAATCGTAAGGGACGATTCATTTTAATTTACGCGGAGAATTTTTTGTATTTTTAAATAAATATATCAGAGCATTTTGCGCGATGCATATCCACGCATCCAATCTATACTGTTAAGTCGGTAATTAGATATGCAGTCAATAACTTTCTCATATGGTAAAAAGCTGGTTCAACGAATCTGATTCACTCTATATATGTGCATATATATATGTGTGTAACACACACACGCACACATACATACAGAGGAACATTTTACCAGGGAATGGAAGTAACTCGTTACTTGTAACGAAGTTACAGTTACAAGTTACTTTTTTGGTAACTTTACTGGTAACTGCGTTACTTTCTTTTTTTGGTAACTGTAACTGTAACGAGTTACATTTTTTGGGTAACGGTAACGAAATTTACAGTTACTTTTGTCGTTACTTTGCACACGATTAAACACGGTTCGATTGGATACATGCTATCTATAGCGCTTATCAATAAGACTTGAAAGCCCTTAGACATTCGGCCGTTATGATTCAGTAATTATTTTACACTTCTATCTTCTATGTAATACATAGGACATACAAATATTTCAGTTTGCTGCATATTTTACAGGTTTTAGAATTACAAAATTGTGTTTAAAAAAAATTAAAAAATAAATTAAATAATAGTAAAATGAGAAGGGCTATGAACCCAAAAGCGAAACAGTTTAAAAGACGATGACAATAAGTGTCGAAACGTCGTTTGTTTTTATCTTGTTTTATCTATGTATTGTTCTAATATATATTTATACATTTAATTACATTGTCATCGTCGTTCTTATCGGAAATAAACTGTTTCATTTTTGGCTCGTAACTCTTCTCATTTTACTTTTATTTAATTTATTATTTGAGCCATTCTACATTGTTTTTTTTTTTTTTTTAAATAAACTATATATTTGTCAGTATTACATATAAAAAAAAAATGCAAAAGTACATTTTTAAATTGATTTTAAAAAAGTAACGGAAAAGTAACGAAAAGTTATTTTTCAAGTAACGGTAACTGTAACGAGTTACTTTTAAAAAGCGATAACTGTAACTGTAACTAGTTACATTTTTTACTCGGTAACGAGTAACTGTAACTAGTTACTTTTAAAAAGTAACTTTCCATTCCCTGCATTTTACATAATTAAATCATGGTATGTTCTGTTTTTTTAGAGAACTACATGCTGTCTACAATACTAGCACAGATCCAACATATAAGAGAAGAGAAATAGCAAAATTAGTAACACATGAACTTGTACACCAATGGTTTGGCAATTTAGTTACTGCATCTTGGTGGTCGTACCTGTGGTTAAATGAGGGATTTGCCGTATTCTTCCAAACGTACATCATCAACAAGGTAATACTATATGTATAATGCAGACTTTTGCTTATTGAAACATAAAGTTAAAATATATAATTTTAAAGTTAAATTAATGTCAATTAAATACTGTCAGATACTAGATTTAAAAAATATATTAAGGTAGAACTGAAAAAACAGATGGCACGTACTTTTATTTATTAAAGTTATAAAAAAGATTCTAGCGCATTTATAAAAAGGTTTAAATAAAGAAATTCTTTTTGAAGTTTGGAAATAACATCTATTTTTATATTATATATAGTATTGAAGATTTGTTATTTAAAATTTTTTATGTTTAGACATTACTTCATTAGAAAATTTCTAGACATTGCAGCAGTTTTGTTAGAAAATTCTAAAATATTTTTTTCTCTTTCTGTAACAGCTTCATTCAACATTTAATGAAATAATAAAGTTAAACATTATGTATTTTTATATCTTGATTCTATTTTTATATTATATATAAATAATGTTCAACAATTTTAATGATATGCTTAAAATAAATTACGTTGATCTTAAAAAATCAAACAGCACACAATATTCATAAAATCTTTACAAAATATTTGTATATATTTATAAGAATTATTTTAAATATTAGGTCTACAAATTAGTTCGGCCTTTTGTAAATACATCTTTTATAAATATATTTTTGTGGTCTTTATATAAAATATGTATAATAAATATTTATACTATACATTTCAACGAATTTGTGTGTGAATAATAATAAATATTTATTATAAGTATTCTCTGCTGTCTGAAAAAGATTGACATGAAAGAGTTCGTATAATTTATATGATGTTATAAATAGTAAAATGATGAAATTTTTGGAAGTACCACACGAATTAATTTTTTATGTATAATGAAAACTATTCTTTAAATTTTTATCGCATAAAAACATTTTTTCCTTTAGATTTTTGAAGATTGGCGAATAATGGATTTTTTTGTGGTTCGGACCTTACACTATTGTTTGATTTTAGATATTGGCTTATTGAATTCTGTTACGTTGAAACTTGGAAGTACACTTGAAAATGAATTACTATTTTCTACTGAAATTTATAAAAAAGGTAAAATTATATAAATGGAATAAAGCTATTGTTCATAAATTCCTTAATATATAAAGCATAATAAATAATATATAATGGAAAATTATAATAGCAAACAAATTCTTCTTTTGTGTAATGCAAGATTTCAGAATTTTATATCTTAATTATGTTTGTACTTCAATGTATTTACTTTAAATGTATTATTAGTAATCGATATTTCTGTCATGCGTATTATTGTAGCGCCAGTTTTATTGCGCATGTTATATAATACAGTTACCGACGAAGTATTTCGAAAAGGTGTAATTACATATTTGGCCAAATAGTAAGTGTATAAATTTTATACATTATAACTTTATATATTTTATTGAATATAATCTAATATAATTATTATAATTATACATATCTCTCTCTAAAAAAAAAATTGAGTTCCATGACTATAATCTATATGATAATATCCCACACACAACACAGTTCTCCTTAGAACGTTCTTTGGATGTCCTTAGGATGTTCTTCGGAGAACTGTGCAACTTGTATTCATCGAAAATAGTATATCACCCGAAACGTGAACTTAGATATTATATTGGTATTCAACTATTAGCTATTCTTTTTCTTTATTTAATTATAAAATTTAAGTTAGAGCTTTAATTTATATATATTTTAAGTTCGTACTGCATCTAAAAAGTTAAATCGTATTTATTTAATTAATATTTAGATATTCTTTAATAGTAATGGGGTAAATAATAAAGATCTTCTAATAATAAATTCGTATTCCTTCCATGACTATACGTGGCTATATTAATTAAATTATTTTTCAAATTTAGTCAATTTAATTCGACCACTCCAGACGATTTGTGGAGCGCCATGCAAAGTGCTCTAGATGAATCTGATGTCCCACACGAAGGTTACAGAATAAAAGAAGTGATGGATACTTGGATAAATCAAGAACGTTATCCTGTGGTAAACGTAATGAGGAATTATGAAACTGGCGAAGTAACATTATCACAAAGATGCTTCCGCGCTCGGGAAATGGGTGAATGTATCAATAGTACATGGTGGATACCCGTGACTTACGCTACGGAATCTAATCCGGATTTTTCCAATGCTGTGCCTAAATTTTGGTTACGACCAAATCAAAACGTAAGCTTCAAAAGTGATCCAAACGATTGGATTATTCTTAATGTACAACAAACTGGTAAGTATAAATTAAATTTTAGTATCTTTATTTGATTTGTTCCGTTATCGTAAAAGTCATTCAGTTTTACATATATTTTCTTATATATAAAAATTTTAAAAAGATTTATATGATTATATTCTTCCACACTCTCACGCTTATTTAATAAAAATATGCTTTAAACCATAATTTCTACATTAATTTGTGATATTTATAAATATACGTTGTATTTTTTATTACATTTAAAAAATATCGATGTTTGAAAATATATCTCGATAAATCCAATGAAATCTGTAATATGAACAATGTATAATGCGACAGGATACTATCGTGTCAATTATGATACGAGGAATTGGCATAAAATTTCATATTACTTACATGTTAAGAATTACACGAGTATACACGTTCTTAATCGTGCTCAAATCATTAGTGATTCGTATACTTTTATGATGGAAGAAAATAAAGAAATGAGTGGAGTCTTATTTATTAATTTAATAAGTTACCTAGCGCGAGATACAGATTATATAGCATGGTATCCAATGTTCCGGATTATAGGATGGTTGTCAAAGCTTCTTTTACTGCCAGGGACTGGAAATGTCAAGGTAAATAATTTTCCAAAAAGATGAACAATTATATATTGGACGTTAAACATTAAATAGGGTGTCCCGCGAGACTTCTCCAATCTCGCATAGGAAGGTAGATAGGATCAAAATAAATACAGAAGTCTTATACTGTTTAACAATTCTTGCTATATTTAATATAGATATTAATTTTTGAAATTATACTAATGAGAGCGCGTTTTGAGAAACGCTCCGGCTGCACGAGATGCAGCCCGACGCAATTTTTCAAACATATGCGGCGTTAGCAACGCGTTAGAGAGGCAAGAGGGGAAACGCGATTTGTTTCACAGCGCTCGGCATCGCCGCTCACATATGACGCGCCGCACCGACAGATTTTACGATAGAAATTAATTAGATTTCTGTATATTTCGTCGACTTCTATCACTTTCTCTCTTTTGACATTTTTATTCGTAGAAGTTTATTATGGTTTGTATTTGTTCTATTTTGGTAATATTACTATTGCATATAATGCATAAAGTTTTAATAAAAATATATTGTATATGTATAAGAACAACAGAGTAATGACTTTTTATATAATATAATAATTACAAAATTACTTTTTTATAAAAAGGTAAACAGCAGTGTTAATGTAAGGCGTGCACCTCGAACAAAAAATTGTATCGAATAAGAAAAAATGAACCAATATAAAATCAATATATTATGCTATTATTTCTAGATACGCATGTTAGATCTCCTCGATAGACTTCTTCAAAATGTAGGATATGAAGAAAATCTTTATGATGATGATATCACCAAGTTGAAAAGATTAGACGTCTTAAAATGGGCATGTATCATTGGTCACGTGGGATGTAAGAAATCAGTCGCCAATAAATTAAGCGAGCATCTCGTAAATCCTGATACTCACAAGTAACTTCTTTTACAGTGACGATTATCTCGTAACTGTATTTGCATATGTGTATAATGTAAATATAGCCGATTCTCTATTTCTTCAAATTACCGATATCAGACATTTTCCTTATTCTTTTCTTCATTCTAAAAAAGTCAATATAAAGTCATTTTTAAGTCATTTGGGATCGAGATTTTTATCATGATCAAAAAATGACTAAATTCAGTCAATATGACGTCGAATTGACATTATTTTGATTGTCTCGTTCTCCAACTACAGCATGTATAATATGGACTGGGAGAATTCTGTAAAACGGGAACGTAATTTTATAAAGTAAATAATTGTTTATAGCTGAATGGAGAATATAATACTACAAAACTTGATAAAATAGAAAAATGGCTATATGCATAAGATGTATATATCTTTTCTTGATAACAATGTATATTTTAGAATTCCACAAGAGCGGGAAGAATTTATGTACTGTTCTGGCTTGATGACAGCTAATAGAACCATTTGGGATAAAATGTTAAAATTGTATCTAGAAAAATCTAAAACATCTAATAAAACAGACCTAATAAAACAAAGATCTCATAAAATGTTATTGAACAGTTTAAGTTGTGTTGAAGATCCTGATATTATAATCAATTTTTTAAATATTTTAGCATCAAATGCTTCATTATTTTCTGATAAGGAGCATTCTCTTGCCTTCCGTTATATTCTTGAGAAGCATGCACGTAACAATTTAATTCTTGATTATGTACTAAAAAATTTTGATATTTTAAAGCCTGGGTAATTTCATTTCTCTTCACAAAAATACATATATATATATACTATATTGTTTTCTTAATCATAAAAAATTATCAATTTTTAGTATGTTTCTAAATATAAATTATGCTTCTGTAGATCATTGACTTCAACTGCAATAGTACAATTTATTCTTTCAAATATTTATTCTAAAGAGCAAATTGACAAGGTAAATGTTATTCTGAATTCATTTATTTCCATGCAAATAGAGTAACACACGTTACTAAAAGGGATAATAAATATACTTCAAAATTAATCGAATGTATTATACAAATATACACAGAATATCCCAAAATTCGCGATTCAAAACACTATAGCAAGAAAATTAAGTATGAAAATTAATACCGGGTTTTTGGCAGATTAGTGCGTATTAAATGCGAATTTTATCGGTGCCACACATTAGGGCTATGCGCATTGTATAAATAAGCTCAAATTGTTGTATTCGACATATAAAAACTATCCCATTGTAGTATTAAATTTATATTTGAACCAACCGAATGAACTGAAAGAGTTCAAGAAATGTTAGAAATATACTGTGGAATAAACAGAGTGTATTCCATAGTACAAGATTTCTGATAGATTAAAATTCTTATTCTCTGTTCTCTATTCCCTGTTCCTTTTATTCTGCGCAGCCCCTTACAATGACAATTCTGACAGTGCAGTTTAGTATAGCACCAAAGTAGTTCCTACGGAGAATTATTATACTCCATTGTGGTTCTGTACTTGCACTGTTTGTCAGAGCAGCATTCAATGTATGTATGCCGAATTTGACATAAGTATGATAACGTTACTTAAAAATTTTTATTTTTAAAATTAAATTACAATCAGCTCAAATATAAATTAACAAATTAAAATTAACAATAAACCTCTCAGATCAAAAATAAATTGAGCAATAATATATATCTATAAATTTATTGTAATGATAACATTAATATACGGTACGTTTCGACTTCACAGAGTCCTCATCAGCCGTAAACAAACCCCTTATAAATTAAAGAAAAACGCATAAACTTCGAATTTTTTACATTTTTAACATATAAAATCACTCGGATAAATTCAATTATACCATCGCTTTGTTAAAGGTCAAATAATTAACATATATGTACGTCGCATGAATTTATACTAATTATACGATTTTTCAAGCCAATTGCTCTGATATTAAAATATAGTCAAATTGTTCAAAAAGATCTGTACAGTTATGACATATACTATAATTGTAATAATTTGGACATCTTAAGAGAAAATTAATTTCATCTGTTAATGTAAGTCTCAGGTTAAATATTTTTATACAAGAATTTAATGATAAAAAAAAAAATTTAATTTATTCAGTTTTACTTATACATACTGAGGCCATAATATTCAAACACTTGCTCTATGAGAAATTTATAATGACAATTTTGATTGGAATACATATATGTATATGGACTAGCCCTTCTCGCTAAATAACGAAGAATGGATCATAGTGGACCTTATTTTATCTTTTTGAACAATTTGACTATATTTTAACATCAGAGCAATTGGCTTGAAAAATCGTATTCATGCTACGTACATACATGTTAATTATTTGACCTTTAACAAAGCGATGGTATAATTGAATTTATCCGAGCGATTTTATATGTTAAAAATGTAAAAAATTCGAAGTTTATGCGTTTTTGTTTAATTTATAAAGGGTTTGTTTACTGCTGATGAGGACTCTGTGAAGTCGAAACGTACCGTATATTAATGTTATCGTTACAATAAATTTATAGATATATTTAACAACCATTATTGCTCAATTTATTTTTGACCTGGGAGGTTTATTGTTAATTTTAATTTTTAATTATACAATCACATTTAGATGCAGGTCCATTGGTCATCGATTGTTCTTAGTTAATTCGGTTCATTAATGTTCACTGCTATACTGCTGCATGACAGATGAATATATAACTATGTTAACATAATTTTATCATATTTAAATTTTTATTACTTAAAAAAACGTTACTTAAAATAAAAATTTACAACTAACAATTTTACTTAATTTTTCTAAAAAAACTGTCTTGCTGTAATATTTTAAGTTGCAAAATTTGGGACACCCTGTAGATAAATAGGTTATTTGTAATAAAAGATTCATCTCTCTCACGACCCTATAAAAAAATAGTAACAGAACTTTAAACATTTTAACATCCCAGAAAGGAATGTTTTGACACTTCAGGTCCTCAAAGTACATAATTTTGTTTCACTTGAAACTATTTTGTTGAATTAAAATTATATTTTATCAAATTCTTGTATAAGAATGAACTGTTATTTACTGAACATTTTTCAAATTAATCTGTTCCAGATAAAAAGATTCTTAGAAGGTAGTATCAATCAAGATGATAGAACTTCGGCTAAAATTCAACGACTGATAGAAAAGCATAAAAATTTTATCAAAAATACAGTAAACAGTTTCAAAAAGCGATTTTATTCAAGACCACCTTATGATCAAGTGATCATTTATTCAAAAGATTCACCTTATAATAAATAGATTATTAATCCGATGAATTAAAAAAATATGATACAAATACCTACATTTACCTATATAAACTTCCCAAAAATATTATTCTTATTTATTATTATCTTGTAAATCATTTTTTATAATCTTTCTTTAATTATTTCCGATACTTAAAAAAATGTTTACATTATTTAACATTTTATTAATAATTTCTGAAAGCTATTGATGAAATTCGTCCATAACATATAATATATATAAGTCGGTATAGTATCGTTGGATAGATCTTCAGAAAACAAACAGCTTTTTTTTAAATTTTTTTGATATCATTTACGGTTTACTAGAAAAATAAGAAAATGTCACAAATTTTAGGCCATTTATTTGTGCAGACATCAAAAGTAATCAGATGTTTATAAAAATTTTAAGAATTAATTCTACATGATTAATGTGATAATAGTATTTGTGCTTTTAGGAATAAATTGGGAAGTGAAAAAAACAATTATATACGTATAAATCTGTTAATAATAAAATTAGATCGTATAATATGTATTAAACTATTAAGAAAATAAATAATATATTAGTACCACATAGTATTAATCAATTTAAAACTATCAGATTCCCATAGCTGTCCTCATTTGATTGCTTTATATTATACATATTAAAATAACGCTATTTCAACGCAAATGAGAACGTGATCATTCTATTAATGTCGCAAAACTATAATTATAAAAATAAGTTTCTGTGCCAAATCATATATTTATTAAGATATTAATTCCAATTTTCATTATATATACTATACATTTTGTAATTATATATAAATCTAAATTTCTTATTTATTGTGTATTAAGTTTCTGTAAAATTAAAATTTATTTGAATTAAACAGTAACATACTTTTTTTTTAAGTTAGCTATAATATTTAGAATATAAGTATCAACTGTTTTACGGAAAGCTTAAAATTCACAAAAAGGTGTAATTTTTAATTGTTTATAATTCAAATACGTTCTATATGTCTCAATATTTGTCATAGAAAGAAAACAAAACAGTATATATTTTATAAAAGACATTTAATATTTACATACACGATCTTGAAACACATTTACATAATATTTATATTATCAAGCACCAATGTCGTAGAATGTAGTCAGTACCCTGGGAATCTTTAAAGGTTCAAAACGACGATCGTGATTACGTTAATGTATTCCTAATATTAATTGCTCGAGACGATAACTGTATAATCTCAGTTAATTATAATTTATTCTATTTTAATCGGTACACAAATAATACCAAGTAAGTTGTCAAAAAAGATATTAATTAAATAAACATTTATCTTTCGCAATCACATAAAAAATAATCTCTAAAACTTCAGACAAAAACGTTATTATATTATGTTTAAGATATAAAACTGAGCTATACTTTTTCAAGACTAGCTTCTTCAAAATTAAACTTTTCAGGACTTCAGATGTGTAAAATGAATCTTTATATAAGATTTTCAAAGTTATTATTAAATATTGGCCTAATACTAGCTACAAATCTAGTTTTTTGTATCGATGATAATTTAAAAGTTATCCATCGTTTACCCAACAACACGATTCCTGTTCATTATAACATTTACCTGACATTGCATCTGAAGGAAGGCAACTTTACTTTTTATGGTGAATCCAATGTCAATATCGAAATTCGTTTTGCATCATCACAAATAAGTTTACACTCAAAAGAATTAGAAATAAATGAAACGGCGACAACGTTGGTTAATGATAAAGGTACAGTTTATAAACCGATGGAATATACTTACAACAATGCAACAAATATTTTGATACTTCATTTCGATCATGAATTATCACCGAGTTTCTATACTCTTAATATGAGATTTACTGGTAACCTATCCGAGTCTACTGATTCCCGAAAAACTGGTATTTTCAAAATTCCGTATACAAGCGAACAAGGAAACACGACGTAAGTAAATAATGCCATTTTTAACTATTTTCTTTTGTTTTTATCACCATTGTTATAGTGTAAGAGAGAGAGAGGATTGATGAAACGTTACTCAAATTTATAACTTTGCTCTATTATTAAAAACGTTTTTTAATATATACTTAATACAATATAATATCATGGAAAGAATTTTTTCTTTAAAAACCATTGAAAATATGGTAGTTGTGATACAATACAATATATGAATAGAATGTTTTAAGGATTTTTACCATGGACTTCAATAAAATTTATCAAAATTATTTTATAGTTTATAATAATATTATTGCTGAAAGAAAGAGATTTACATTAAATTCTTCGAAATACATAGGATTGTTCCACGATGATTATCATAATTTCTCAGGATAAATTCCAAGAAAAAATTTTCTCTCCGTAAACATATATAACTATATAATCACAATATATTATATAAAAAATTTGTACATATATATTTGGAAGGTTAACTTTAATTCAAAATAAAAATAATGTGACTACACAGCACTTTGGTCCTAACTATTAACAAAATTGTTATTACCTATAACATAATAATAAAAAATAACCATATTGTTTCGTAAATTCTGATGTTATCCATCATAAACGGTAAATTTTCCGTAATTTAAATTATCTCATTAAATTGTAGATGGCTCGCGGCAACACATTTCGAACCGGACGGAGCCAGACAAGTGTTTCCGTGTTGGGATGAGCCAGCATTAAAAGCTACCTTCAACATCTCTATAATGAATTATGATAAGTACATGGCATTGTCAAATATGCCAAGACGAAATATATCCTTCGAACCAAATGACATGACATGGACATATTTTGATACCACCCCTATAATGTCTACTTACCTCGTGGTAATTGTTGCAATCAGCCGGGCCGATTTTATCACCATTTCTAATGCAAACCTGAATGTCAGTACGTTGTTTAGGTTCTCTTTGCAATCGCAAGTAAGATTCGCACAAGATATTGCTGAACGTGCCATGACATTCTTGATTCAATATACTAATAATTCCGAAAAAGTACCAAAAGTGGATAACATCTTGATACCAAATTTTCCGATTGAAGGCATGGAAAATTGGGGACTAATTACTTACAAGTAATATACATAATTAAAACGAATTAAATTTTATTTAAAGTTAATCTGTGTTACTTTTAGTACTCGAATTTTAGTAATTAAGAATACTGAAAAATAAAATGTGCATATTTCACATATATCGAAAGAATTTGCGCGCGTATTTGCGCGCCCGCACACATACATACATACACGCATATTTAGATTACATAATATTAAGTTTAAATAATATGAATTATTTAATACATTATATTAATCTTGCCCACTCTTTTTCACTCCTATATACATTTGTACGTAAATATGCACATACACATATGATTATAATATATGACTTAATTTTTACTCCATATTGGATTATACATAATTATGACAAAAATATTTTATATAATTATGTTACGTTCTGTCTTTCAGAGAATCAAGTAGTACCTACGATGATAGAACGGATCCAACATATAAAAGAAAAGATGTAGCGTCGTTAGTAGCACATGAAATTGCACATCAATGGTTTGGTAATTTAGTCACTCCATCTTGGTGGTCTTACATATGGTTAAGCGAGGGGTTAGCTACGTTTTTCGAAACGTACATCATCGACAAGGTTATTTAATATTACTGTATACAATACATGTAAAGCAAATGTTGTTTATTAAAAAAAGAGGTAATAATATAGAATACGGGCCGCACCTCCGAGATAATATGCGTTATGCTGATTCTATAATGATCGGTAGTCAGTAGTTTTAAATTTTATCGATAAAGTTAATCAATATTGAGCCAACTTGTACAATTAACACTAATTAGCCAACTTCACCGATTAAGACTTCCAACTAGAGACTCGTTGTAGAATTAGCTTTAAAGTTGACGACTATTCGGATTAGGAAATCTGTCACAGCCTCACTATATGGTTTATTCACTACTTTAAAAACACAAATTCACACACTTTAAATACAAATTCACCACTTCAGAAACACTAAATTTGTTTATAAAATAGTTAAATTGTGTTATAAAGTTATTTGTTTATAAAGTAGTTAATTTCACGAGCTCGCATTTCTAATAACATCTTGGACGCCGAGCCAAGGATTTTTATTTATTTTTTAATATTAAATTTTTTATATTTATTTGTTTGATTTTATATTATTTTTAACATTTAGTCTCACAAAAGCAATTTTTTTTTCAGATTTTCAAAGATTGGCGAACGATGGATTTTTTTGTAGTTAAAACATTACACAATTGTTTAATGGTAGATATTGGCTTAATGAATTCGGTTACATTGAAACTTGACAATGTTCTTGAAGATGAGTTGCTATTTTCAATTATATCAAAAAGTATATCAATACTTGTATCAGAAGTATATCAAAAAGGTAAAAAATATATTATATATAAATATAATGAAACTATATTGATCATGGATTCCTTATGGATATGCATAAAGAAAAAGTAATAGCAAATAAATTCTTTTTTGCTCAATGCACATTTATATTGTACATTCAGCAACTATAAGATTACAACACTTTTTTTCAAATAGTTTTCGAAATGCAACCTACTCATCGAGTGATTGGTTCTCATTTATAAATTCATAAAGACCATCGTTCAGTGAGCAGGCTCTTTCCGAAATTTATTGAAAAAGTGTTAGAACTCCCACTCCCCTCCCTTTTTAATTGCTGAATGTATATCTTAACTTTATACATATAAAGACTTTAATGTAAATGCATCTATTATAAATGTATTGTTATAATAATCGATATTTTTATGATGTGTGTGATTGTAGCATCAGTTTTAATACGCATGTTGTATAATACAATTACTGACAAGGTTTTTCGAAATGGTTTGATCACCTATTTGTCTACTCAGTAAGTGTGCATAATTAAGTTTAATTTAATCTCATTATATGTTACACTATTAAGTATCATATATACATATATAATAATTCTTTTTGTATGTTAAAAACAATATATTTATCAAAAAATGAACTTAGAAATTATATTGCTATCATATAGTAAACAAGAAATGTAGAATATTTCAGCAATGCCGTCTGAATTAAGATTCAATTATTAGTTATACTTTTTTATTTAAATGAAATTATGTTTCAGTTAGTTTTAAAATAGTTTTTAAATTATATATATTCTCATTATTTTCTACACGTATCATTAATTAAATTGTATATTAACATTTAGATACTTAACTATTAAATTTATAATCCTCGAAGTATGCCAACAAAACTATTGACATCATTTTTCAAATTTAGTCAATTTAGTTCGACCACTCCAGACGATTTGTGGAGCGCCATGCAAAGTGCTCTAGATGAATCTGATGTCCCACACGAAGGTTACAGAATAAGAGAAGTGATGAATACATGGATAAATCAAAAACGTTATCCTGTGATAAACGTGATGAGAAATTATGAAACTGGCGAAGTAACATTATCACAAACGTGTTTTCGCACACAAGACACTGCTGAATGTATCAATAGTACATGGTGGATACCTGTGACTTACGCTACGCAATCCAATCCAGACTTTTCCAATGTTATCCCTAAATTTTGGTTACGACCAGATCAAAATATAAGCTTTAGAATTAATCCAAACGATTGGATTATTCTCAATTTGCAGCAAACTGGTATATAAATATTAATAAATTTCTGCTTCTCATTAATTTTGTTTCATTATCACAAAATTTATTTTCAATTTTATTCTATATATTTATAAAAGTATATTATATTTTCTTAATTGTTGCATTAAAAAGATACTTTTTATAAATTCAATGAAAAATATCTAATAATAATAAAATGTTCAATACGACAGGATATTATCGTATTAATTACGATACGCGGAATTGGCATAAAATTTCATATTATTTAAATTCTGAGAACTATGCGAATGTACACGTTCTTAATCGTGCTCAAATCATTAGTGATTCATATGTCCTTTCGATGGACGAAAATAAAGAAATAAATGGAGTCTTATTTGTTAATCTTGTAAGTTATTTGGAGCGAGAAACAGATTATGTGGCATGGTATCCAATGTTCAAAATTGTAGAATATATATGGTCGTCTAAATATCTTTTTCTAACGGAGGCCAAAAGTATCAAGGTAAGTAAAACATTTTTCATAAAGATTAAAAGGACATTTGCAACATTATAGTTAATTTTTCGGTTTGTCTAGTTTTCTACAGTTACCAATTTGCTATAATGTCAACCAATTCCTTATATCATTATTTCTAGATACGTATAATGTATCTTCTCAACACGCTTCTTAAGAACGTAGGATATGATGAAAATTCTTATGATGACGATATCACAAAACTGAAAAGGCAAGCCGTTTTAAAATGGACATGTATCCTTGGTCACGCGGGATGCAAAGAAATAGCTTCCGAAAGATTAAGTCAACATCTCGCAAATCCTGATACTCATAAGTATATAACTTTTTTTACGATCAATTATCTCATAAATTATTATTGAGATTCAATAATCTCGTTTCCCCCCAATTCGCCACCTCGCGTAATTCTTGCTTACGATTACGCGTTCCTTGCGTGATTGGACTCGCGCTATGACATATCGCTACACTTCAAATCACTGAAACCATATATGTATTTATGTTTCCCTTACTCTTTTAGTAATTCTACATTATTATCTCTCTAAATTCTTTAGAGTGAATTTTCATTCTAAAGAGTAAAAATTCAGCCACCAAATTTTGAAAAGGTGATCCAATTTTCAATCTTTAAAAATGAAATTTCCAAATTCGGTTCTCTAAACATTTTTACAGAATCTCTAATAAGAACAACGTATAATATTCAAAATAAATATGCCGTATAAGTGAAAATGCAATAATTAACAAGCAACATTACTAATGGAATCTTCTTTCATTCGTTTCTTTGTTGTAACATGATTATACATATGTGTATAGTCACGTGACAAGTATGATATAGAATGGGAGAATACCGCAGAAAGAGAATTTAATTTTAAAAAATTATAATTGTTTAGCTAATTAGAGAATGTAAAAATCAAAAACTTGATTAATAGAGAGCTATAATACGCTTAAAATGTTCTATCTTTTCTTGAAAAATACATTTTAGAATACCGAAATGGAAGGAAGAATTTACGTACTGTTTTGGTTTGAAGACAGCCAAAAGAACTATTTGGAATAAAGTGTTTCAATTATATCAGAAAGGATCTAATAAGACATTATTGAAAAGTTTGAGTTGCGTTGAAGATCCTGATATTATAATCAGTTACTTAAATATTATAGCATTCAACACTTCATTATTTTCCAATATGGACCATTTTCTCGTTTTTCGTTATATTCTTGAGAAACATGTGAGCAATAATTTGGTCCTTAACTATATATTAAACAATTTTGGAATTATAAAGCCCAGGTAATAATGCTTCTCTTCATAAATATATATTCTATTAGAGACAGTTATTTAATATGATTATAGTTTCTTCTCTTCTACATAAGTTACAAATAATTTTATTCAGAAGATATACCTCCATTGTATTTTGGAAGATATTTCCTGAATAAAAGTTATAATCTAGAAGTAAATGGGTATAAATTATAAAAGTTCTTAATTATGTGTATGAATTTGTTCACATATATGAACTTTTTATAGGTTACTTAAAACACCTGTAGTAATAGGATTTATTCTTTCAAATGTTTATTCTGTCCAACAAATTGATCAGGTAAATTTTATTATTTATTATTCTATTTGTAGCATGATGCTAAAACCGTTTGTAGTGCAAAATTTTTATTCTTAGATTAGATTTGTATATATTTGAAGAAAACTGCATTGCAAAATATCGAGTAACATCGGTGTGTGCTTTAAAATATAAACTTTATATAGTTTTTAAGTATGTATGTCACAGATTAATATTTAACCAATCAACTGAAAAAAGCTTAAAATAATTTCGCTATAAGCATCGTATCACAGATTGATATATAATTCAATCAATTTTCGAAGATGCTATCACCAGTAAACAAAAAGACAATTTTGTTATGGTGTATCATTTCCACAGCTAAATTATTTGTGCATATACTTATCGGTTAACGTTGTGTTAAATTATAAATTATATTTATGGTTTTATATTCATCATTTTTAAGATGATTATATAAACATTGAATGATCAAATCATTAATAGCTTTATAGGATCCTTATTTATAACAATAGTATTAAATTGCTTGTCAATTTAATTTGTGATATTATTACTCCAGCTTTGGTTTAGCACTGATAACTAATCGCTAGTTTAAGAGACATCTTGAATTAATATCTGTTTCAGATACAAAAATTCTCTGAAAGTAATATCAATCAAGATCCAAACACATTATTAATAGTTCAACAACTAATAGAAAAACGTAAAAAGTTTCTTAAAAATTTCATAGACATTTTTAAAAAGCGATTCTTTTCAAGACCTATAAGTAATCCGATTATTTAAAGAGGCGAAATGATGCATAACCTACATTTATCTACATGGAATTTTCCAAAAATATTTTTATTTAAAATATCTCTTATCTCGTGAACAATTATTCATGTATTTTTAATTATTTTTAATATATTTTTAACATTTTTATATTATTTAATGTTTTCAACTTAATGTGTTCAAAATGTTAACTAATTCATATACTTTTGAATTATTGTTTTGATTACATCAATTATTAGATCTTAAGCAACTGAAGTATATATAGAACCAAAAAATTTATTTAAAAACACAAATGTAAATATTATTACAACAGAAATGAAACCAAGAAAAACTTAAAAAGTTATAAAAATAATAGCAAAAAACAATCTGACTTTTTAAAAAGACTCACTGACTTTGAGTCAGCCAGACAAAAGCAAAAGGATTCTTGATAATTTTCAAAATTGATCTTACTTAATCGTGTCCAAAGAAGGAAAACTAATTTTCCATCGAAGAATGATTAGCCACGAAAAGAGACACGTCACCACTTCTTGATACTTTCAATGGTTTCAAATATGAAAGTTTTTTCTCGAATCTTCTACCAGAAGAGGTACAATTACATGCTTGCGTTTGTGCCACAAATTAATGTAGAAAATACAATTATTTGTAAAAAATCTCGTAACACCCAAATATCATGTACCAAATGTCAAACAGCATTTGCTTAAATTTCTTTGATATCATTTCCGGTTTACTAGAAAAATGAGAAAATGTCACTTTGGCCATTTATTTGTGCAGACATTAAAAGTAATCAGATGCTTAAATTAAAATTTTAAGAATAAATTTGACGTGATTAATGTGATAATAGTATTTGTACTTTTAGGAATAAATTGGAAAGTGGAAAAAACGATTATATACATATGAATTTGTTAATAATAAAATTAGATCGTATAGTATGTATTAAACTATTAAGAAAATAAATAATATATTAGTACCACATAGTATTAATCAATTTAAAACTATCAGATTCCCATAGCTGTCCTTATTTGATTGCTTCATATCACCAGTAAACAAAAGACAATTTTTTTTATGGTGTATCATTTCCACAGCTAAATTATTTGTATATACTTATTGTTAGATATCGGTTAATGTTATGTTAAATTATAAATTATATTTATATTTATCATTTTTAATCATTTTTTTCATTTTGAAGATGATTATATAAACATTAAATGATCAAATCATTAACAGCTTTATAGAATCCTTATTTCAGCAATAATATTAAATTGCTCGTCAATTTAATTTGTGATATTATTACTCCAGCTTTGGTTTAGCACTGATAACTAATCGCTAGTTTAAGAGACATCTCGAATTAATATCTGTTTCAGATACAAAAATTCTCAGAAAGTAATATCAATCAAGATCCAAACAGATTATTTATAGTTCAACAACTAATAGAAAAGCGTAAAAAGTTTCTTGAAAGTGTCGTAGACATTTTTAAAAAACGATTCTATTCAAGACGCATATATGATTCGATTAATTAAAAAGGCGAAACGATGCAAAACCTACATTTATCTACATTGAATATTTTTCAAAAATATATTTTTTTAAATATCTCTTATCTCTTGACAAATTAATGTAGAAAATACAACTATTTGTAAAAAATCTGTTAACACCCAGATATCACGTATCAAATATATCGGAATTACTTTCACGTTTTGTAATAAAATCATGGTCTGCATAACTTAAAAATGAATCTTCCACACTTACATCGGATCTGTGAAGCTGTCCTTATTTTTTTGATATTAATAGAATGTCGTGCCAGCTTCATAGATTCACGTATATTCTTTTCTTTTTAACAACCACAAATGGAATAAAAAGAATTCAAACAAAATTTTCGAGTTGAAGAGGGAAATTCGAAAAAAATATATTAATTATTAAAAAATAAAAATATAGTAATAATATGGCTCAATAAATTTAAAAATTAAATTGTGGAAGAAGAGCCAAGAAATTTTGTCGTATGATCAAAAGTTCTAAAACAGGTTGTTACAAATTAAAATATTTCGTTTACAATTGACTTTAATAATATAAATATCATAGACAAACATTTCGACACCGATCAGGTCATTCTCAATGTTTATGTAAAATATAATAAAGTTCTATGACATAATATGAATATATAAATTATAATTTTTCGGTGTGTCAAAAAAAATTAGTCATGAAATAGAATTTTATCCGATCTCGATAATCATTATAATTCTTTGTGGAAAAGATACTTAAATATTCTGTTAACAAGGAACAAATTATGAGTTTATATGACGTAAAGTGAACTGAATATAAAGTTATACGAAGCAAATGTGACTAATAAAAATATATGTAAAATACAAACTTAATTTAGTATAATATAAATGTAGAATATGTATTTTAATTAATTTTAATTGAATTTAGTTTTGTATTATATAATATAAATATGGATAATACATTATAACAGTAGTAGCAATTATTATACATCATAAGATGTATGATATATCACAATATTTATATATGACGATTAGTCAGAAGTATAGATATATGATATAAATAATTTAATGAAAAATGCATTGATTATTAATTGAAAACAAATTTTATTCAAAGCCTTTCTTTCTATTACAAAAAAAATTATTCAAGCCTATTTGAAGTATCTTATTCTGTATTAGCATCCATCGATATCAAAACCTTGAAAATGTACATGGAACTATCCATGTAGATTTAATTATATAAATCTAATCTTAACATAAAGTATTATTATTTGGTATATTACATACAAAATAAAAAAAAATAAATATCTTCGTATACTATTTTCTCATTTCTCTTTTAATTTATAACTAATCAAGATTTATATCGAGCTGCAGATAATACTATTTCGTAAAAAAATAAATTCATGTATAAACTCTATTCCTTCTAGATTTTACTGTTATCAATTCATTGCGCAACTATTTGTACTCATTCCGCTCATTTTATTCTTATATTACTTGTAATAGAAATCACCTGTAAAATTAAATTAAGCGTTATTATATTCAAGTATTATCATATGCAAATAAAACGGTATAGTAACACAGGTACCTCTATCGGTTCGTGTTTCCACCTATATTGTCAGTCGACGAGATATTTCAATTTGTAAATACATTTGAAAATAAATTTCCAGTCTGTGCACCGCTTAGTTGCACAGGTTGTGCAGATTTATCCGCGTTTATTGATTGCTCCAAAAGCGATTTACTCAACTGTGAAATATGCTACAAAAAAGATATTAAATATTTAAAACAAGCTGATATCTATGAACAAACATTTATATTAAGTATGTTCTTTTTTTATATTCAAGGACTAAACTACTTACATCTATCTTTTGCCTTTTTCGACAATGTGAAAAGAAAAAGGAGAAAGATAATTCTTTTGAAGAAGTTTAGTCCTATACGGGATATGAAAAAAGAACAATATATTGTTTGTGTATGTATTTTTCGAAACTTATGGCCTTTGTTGAAAATTTCAAGCTTGTAATCTATGCCAAAATTTTTGTAAAATATTATATTACAAAAATATGATATGAACTCGGAGAAAAAAATTCTCTCCGAATTTGTATTATATTTAAACAGGAGTTTTTGTTATTTAAAATTATTATATGTAAAAATAATATGTAAATACTATATTTTAATCTATTACCTCTGTTATCTTTACAGGGTAAAAGCATATAAATATATTTATTGGCTCATTGCCCTGTTTCTCTATATTAGTTTTTAAAAACTTATTGAGCCTTATTACAAACAATATATGTTTAAAGATATGTTTTGATGACACAAATAATAGAAGAATCAATTTTCGGACAAATAAATTTTTAGGAAAGTTCCGATTGCCTACAATCCCGATTGCACTCATTGTTCGCTGATTGGCTAATTTAAAAATAATATAACCTCATTGGTAAAGCAGAGAAAAGTTACTAGGCACCGGTCAATGTGAATGGTGTGCAATCGGGATTGTAGGCAAATGGGATCCTCCCAAATTTTTGCATGATTATACAGAAAAATGTTATGTCACAATCAGAAACAATACTACTTTCTGCTTATCAATACATTTGGTTGTGATAACCGTAATGTGGACATACAGGATATCTATAATCCCACCAAGGCCCTATATTTCGAAAACTGCTTTAAAATGTAAACTGCTTTAAATTCAGATAAAAGTTGTAGGACATTAAGAGGAACATATGATAAAAGTATGGATTTGACCTCGAATGACCTACTCAAGGCTAGGTCAATGTGATCAATGTTTTCCTAAATAAAATCTTTTATTTTTTTAATTGCATATTCTTGTAACTTTGAGAGCTTTTCAAACTACTACACTATAATAAACTATTTGTTCATTAAGTACTTTTCAAATTATATGCTTGTATAACAAGGCTTACTTCTTTATGAATAGGCTGTTGGCGATTTTCATGTTTAAACTTATTTTCAGGCGTGTTAGAATTTAAAAAGTTCATCATCAAACATTGCTGTAGAAGCGTATTGTCTTCATTCAATGAAGCTGTATTCATTATCGAATTTGTTAACGATTTCCTCTTCTTTTCCTCTTCATATTCTAACCAAGCTTGTTTGCGTTCCTCTTCGTTTAATTCTTCTTCAGCCTGTTAAATACAAATTTGTCATATGTTTAAAATATATAAACGTCCTTCTTATATAAAAGAAAAACTTTCTCACCTTGTTCTCCAATAGAGAGTCATGCTCGTGATAATTTTCCACGATATCCTTGAACTTTAGAAATATCTCTGCTAGTAGTCTATCATTAGGTAAATTTAATATAGGTTTTTTTTTATCATATCCCTCAAACATATAAAACTCGTTTAAATTCTGATTGGTGTAATGCCGTTCAATCTGTTGTTCATCAACGACACGACAGGAAAGCGAGAGTTTCACAACTTGACGATTGTAAATCTTTTCCTCCATCGTTCCCGTAGCGAGAAATCGATATACATAGCACGGCTTTTTTTGTCCAAATCTGATAATCATTGTTTCGGCGAATCAAAGACGATTAATTTGAAATATATAATTACAAAAAAAATTAGGCAACAGAAAACGCCAAAAGTACCTATACATCCGAAATATGCTTTGTACGTCATGAGAGGGATTCCAACTAGCATCGAATACAATCACTCTGTTCGCTGCAATTAAGTTTATTCCCAATCCTCCAGCACGTGTGGATATGAGAAACAATCTCGCTCTCATATTGGTGGGGCTGTTAAAGATTTTACACCATATATCTCGATTTTTAGCTGAAGTTTGACCATCTAATCGGAAGTAATCGAGTCCTAAGGACCAACTTCCGATATGATTATCGAGGGTATCACAGGATGCACCGTTTTGAGTCTGATCATTTATTTTTCTTAAAAATTCCTCGATTAAGGTGAGAGAATATAGAGATTGCGAGAATACGAGCCTGTCAAATAATAAGTAATAATACAATAATAAATAGCGATGTAAAAATTATTTATCAAAAAATTAGATAAGACACACATACACTTTATCACCGATCTGTTCACATTCTTTTAGAATTCCGAAGAGAAGTAATAATTTAGCTGACACTCTCATGTCTTCAAAATGCTCAGGTTGTACAAACTGTGACCACCATTCTGTGACCACTTCTCGAGTGTCTTGCTCCGATTCCTCTGTCTCTTCTAAAAAATCAATGTTATTTAATATCTTTATTTTATTATTTTATTTACATTATTCATATTTGATATAAATGTTTATAAACATTTGGTTTAAATGTATTTGTGTCACAGTCAAAGTATTAATTCAGTAAATGTAATACACTTATTAGTCAGTGTATGTACTAATTTAATAAGTAAATATACACTAAACAATAAAATTTAAACTTTTACTAGTAGAAGCATACACTTTCAGTTAATTTTGTAAAAGTATGCACAAACAAATATCTAGTAAATGAGTATATTTACTAAAAATAGTAGACATTTTCATATTAATTAATTGATACTTTTATTAAAATCTTACGTAATATATACATTTACTAAAAAAATTTTACGCTTTTACTATACCAACACTTATAGCAAATTCGATTAAATACACTCAGTGCACACTGGTGTATGTACATTATAGCCGTTGTATACAAATTAACTTGATATGTTTATAAATAAACATTAAAAAACCGATGAAGTTGCGAAATTCTCAATGTACTTTATTATGCTATTATGTTAGATTAAAATGTGTCTTTTGTAATCCGAGATATTTGCATTTCACTTTTAAACTTAAATTAAATCAATATATAACGGCTTTAACATATGTGCATCAGCGTCTAATCGAATTACCTATTAGGTATCAATTAAAATATGTAAAAAAGCGTTTTTTTTCGTTTCTTGCATCATGGAAACTTACTGCCAGGATTATTTCTTGTTCTACGTCTAGGAATATTTTCATTATTTTTTTTATCATCGCTCGCCTGAATGTCATTGTCATTGCTCAAATCGCTATTGCTGGTACTCTCTGTATCAGTATTGTTGGTATTCTCAGTATCCATAGAATCGTCATCTATGTTGAACGAACCCTCTGATTCGCTGACAAATTCAAGCTCTTTTTTCTCATTTGCTTTTTCTATTTTCTCTGTATTTAGACGTAGAGCTAAGGGATGCGTCCAGATTCTTTGTAATGCTTGAAAATCAGTAAAGAATCGTCGAACTATTTGACCAGATCTAAATCTAGAGAAGAAAAGTAATACTTTTTTATATATATTTTTTAATCATACAAAGTATATATAATTTAATAATTGCATTTTAAATTATTTAAATATGAAGAGAGCACGACAAAGATTTAAGACCTTTCAGAAACTTACTTGGCGAGATTATGTAAATAATATTGATACATTTTAATTTGCGTATCTGTCAGTCTGACAAAAATAACATATTCTTGTTTGGGCGGCAGAAACGGTGTAAGAATGGAGTAATCAAATCTCTGTACGCTACCCTCTAATATTTTGTGCAATACATGCGCACGTTGTTTCATTAATTTAACATCAGAAGTGGTAGAATCGTCGAACTGACCGTTTTGTATAGGATTTACAAATCTGTTTAAAAATTCTTTCTTTGTACCTAGCAAATTGGGTTTTACAAATTGCATCATACAATGATCTGCAAAATACAATTAAACAAATATAGAATATTTTTAAAAAATATACGATAACAATAAGTTTTATAAAATATTTATGTACATTCTATTAAGTTATTCTGTAGTGGTGTCCCAGTAAGTACTATGCGTCTCAATGTTTTCACGTTTTTTATGCATTTACTTAAAGCAGTATCATCATTTTTTAATACATGGCCTTCATCACAGACAATAAGATCAGCACCTGGATCAACTAAGCATTCCAACATTACATTCTTCATATTTTTCCGGATCTTTTTATTTGAATTCGTAAGAATACGGAACATTTGATAACCAATGATCATAACACCTCCGGTTTTTTGCCATCTTTGCAGTTCATTTCGCCTCTCAACATTCTTCTTAAAACTGGAAGTATTTTATTTGAATATCTATCATCAAAACTCTGATCGCAAAATTGTATTATAGTTTATCTTTAGATAAAAGTTACAAACACGATAAAATATGTAACAACCAAATTTTAAATATCAAATACTCAAATGAACAAACATAAATTAAAGGCTATAAAGAGTCAAACGCAGTTAACAATGCGAAAAAATTATTTAATAATCTTACAAATTAACATTAAGATGTCCCGTCGAACGTTTCGGTCTGCAATTTAGACCATCTTCAGCGACGAAATAATAATAAACCAAAACTCCATTTACTCCGAGTTAGAATGCAAGTAGTAGAATCAATTCTTGTTGAACGACAAAATGTTCCTGTGCACCAACTAGAGGTAAATTCATCGTAGATAATGGATGTGGAGTTGTGTAATAAAATTACGAAAAATCAGAAAAAAGTCTCTGTTGGTAGACAAAAACATTATTTCATAATTAAACTCATAATTTAATCATACTAGAAAGACTGACTATAATACATATGTGTCCGTATTCAACAGTAAAAGACGATACAAACGTGATTGTATCGTCTTTTACTGTTGAATACGGACACATATGTATTATAGTCAGTCTTTCTAGTATGATTAAATTATGAGTTTAATTATGAAATAATGTTTTTGTCTACCAACAGAGACTTTTTTCTGATTTTTCGTAATTTTATTACACAACTCCACATCCATTATCTACGATGAATTTACCTCTAGTTGGTGCACAGGAACATTTTGTCGTTCAACAAGAATTGATTCTACTACTTGCATTCTAACTCGGAGTAAATGGAGTTTTGGTTTATTATTATTTCGTCGCTGAAGATGGTCTAAATTGCAGACCGAAACGTTCGACGGGACATCTTAATGTTAATTTGTAAGATTATTAAATAATTTTTTCGCATTGTCAACTGCGTTCGACTCTTTATAGCCTTTAATTTATGTTTGTTTATTTGTTTTTAACAAAAAAGAGTCCATAACTAGTTTATATATTTTTATTAAGAATTTTTTATCAAATACTCACTTTGTTAATTCGTACACTTCGATATCATTCAAATCCTTCAGCCATATTTCGTATTCATTTAGCCAATTAAGTACTGTGTTTAATGGGCAAACTATCAGTACTGTCTTGATGTTTGTTTCGTGAGTGAGAAGTGTATGAGTCAGAGCGATCATCTGCAACGTTTTGCCCAAACCCATGCAGTGCGCGAGTATACATCCAGATCCGGATGTAGTCTTCACTCTTTCTAGAGACTCGAAACAAGCGTCCCACATAAATTTAATGCCTTGCGCTTGATGTGGTTTCAGATGCTTCACCAATTCGTCATGCACGATAACGAGCTCTTGTTTCGTTTTTGTATCGAAATCTAAAACGAGCTTATCCACTTTCTCTTCTTTGTCAAGTTCCATCTCATACATCTTATTGTACTACATAATAAAAAGTATCTACATGTGACAAATATGTTAGTGATAAATGGACATTTAAAATATGGTAGCAGGATATACCAGAGCTTGACGTTTAACGATACGTTTAAGCCTCTTCTGTTCTTCTTTAGCAACTAGTTTTGTATCTTTTGTAACTTGCGTGGCTTTTAAAACTTTTCGTATATTTTTTCGACCACCTCTTTGCAAGTCCATTTCTTCATTATTATTGTCGAAATTAAATGCCATTTTCTTGATTTGCTTTCGTTTCTCTCTCAATTTTGGTCTATAAATTATGTAAATGGTAAACTTAAGTGTACCAGATAAAAATAAAATAGGTAAAAATGTGATATATATTTTGGAAAATGAATAACAGAGATATAGGAGTATGAGAAGCAAAATTAATTTAGACTCGCTAAAAGTCGTTAAAAGAAAAGAATCATTTATCCAGTGATTATAAAATTAATTTCCGTGAGAACTATCGGTCAAATACCACTTCTCTGATATTTTTCTCGTGTTGTAGCTATTTCTTACAATCGCAAACATGATATATCATAGACACACTATGGGTGCCTTCCAACAAGCGACATAAATGACACGGTGTGACACAGTGTATCAGTATGTACTTGTAGTTCGGCAATGTTAAACAAGGATGAGATGATCACTGTGTTGTACTGTGTCGCTTGTTAAAAGGCACACTTTGTTTATGCTTATAGTATGTTGCGAGTCTGTATGCGTGAATTTCTGCGAAAAAACCATCACATGTTCGAACTCTATAATCGTAGCGATGCAATAGATGCCACATTATTAACTTACTTCTTTACAAGCGAAGAATCTGTACTTGATGAATCATTTCTCTTTCGTTTCAATTTCTTCTTTTCTTTTCTCGTGCTGTTTGAATTGTTTAAATTTTGTATATTTGAAGCTTTAAAAGAGTTATTAAGATCTACATTTTCTGACGTTTCTGAATCTGAACTAAAGATTCTTCGCATGGTCTTCCTCTTGTTTTTCTTTTTAAACTCGAAAGAATCACTTTCATCGGAATCGCTGCTACAATAAATCAAGAAAAAGATTGTTCATAGTAAATAAAATAATTTGAAATTAGTTTAACAAATTTAAAACTTCTGTATGATCAAATAAACGAAGAATGAAAAATTACTATGCCGCTACTTTTTACATTTATAGTACACATTGGTGTCTGAACTCTTAACTGACTTTTTCGTCACGCATACGAATTGATCGGGCGTCTCGCAGATCCACCTCTCTTGGTGGCTATTAATAGGTCGTCGCTGTCGGCATAGTGACACGCGTTTTGGTAAGACAAAATGATAAGATCGTTACTGTTTTTTGGCTTCTAGAACGGTCGAACGAGAAAATATACAAATATGTTTTTTATGATCAAGATCGCTCGAAAGTCGAAATAATATATAACGTATCGAACGATCTAGAAGCTTCATTTAAACATTCTAATGGAATTCTGAACAATGTTACTTTAATATATAAACTTATATAATAAATCTTTACCAGTATAGCATATAATTCTATCATATACTTGAAACACTAATATCAGTTAATAATTCAAATATGTCATAAGATGCAAAAAACATAGATTTTATAAAAAATAATTGAAACCTTTCGTGTTCCTTATATTCCAGCTCTTTTGACTTATTTGACACACGTAAATTGTATTTGGGAGCTTTCATGTTTAATTGCATTGAATGAATTTTGCGGGACATATTCAACTTTTCGTCTTCGTTGATCTTCGCTCTTCTTTTGTTCAAATGGTTCAAATGCGTTTACTTACATCATGGAGGGCATGGGGTCATGCTGGATCATGTATGCAGCGAGTGTGAGCGAGTGTGCATGAAAGAAACGGAACGAACTTCATGCTTCTATGCAAGTAACGGAACGCACCTGAAGATGGCAAAGCGGTTATCCTTATAGGATCTCTAGTACGCTTACCGAGCGATCGAATATGATTGGTTAGATCCATAAGTAATAACCAATTATGTTCATTCGCTCGGCGAGCAGGCCAGCCGCTTTGTCAACTTGAACGTGTCCATTGGTACCTAACCACGTATTGTTCAATGTTATTGAGGAAATTGGAGAATTACACAAGACGTGTCATTTGAAAATAAGATAATTAAGAAAAGCAAGTCGTAAAGAATAAACTTTCACTAACGATGACAGAAAAAGTACGGAGATATGAAAAAATCGATTTTCTGGGTGAAGGACAGGTTAGAACGCTCTTTACCATTTTTATGATTTAGTATTTCATACTGTATCGTATAATATTTATTTTTATAACGCTTTTATGAATTGCATAAGTGTTTTATTGGTGTTAGCGTGTAATCACAGGATATTCATTTTAAATATTTAGGACATAATATTTACATGCATACAGTTTTGTTTACATAATTGCATTATGATTTAATTAATAATTATAAGAATATTATAAACATAAATGTAGATAAATTGTATTCTATACTTCAGTTTGCTACAGTTTACAAGGCAAAAGACATAGAGACGAATAAAATTGTGGCTGTGAAGAAGGTTAGTTTTTTCATTATGAAAAATATAGATTTCCACGTTTTATACAATTTGTATTATAAACTTTTTATATTTGTAAATATAGATTAAAGTTGGAAGTCGTGCTGAAGCTAGAGATGGCATAAATCGGACTGCTTTACGAGAAATTAAATTGCTGCAAGAGTTAAAGCATGATAATATCATTGGCTTGTTAGGTATTTAATTCTTATTTGTAGAAAATGTTATAATAGTTGTAATAGAACAAATAATATGCAAACCTGCAGACTATAATACAGCTGGTATAAATATTAATTTTAATGATTATATGTTTATATATTATATATTTAATAATTATATATGTATATATTAAAATTCTAGATGTTTTTGGTTATAAATCAAATGTATCGTTAGTATTTGATTTTATGGATACTGATTTGGAAGTGATAATAAAAGATAGCAATATAGTTTTAACCGCAGCTAACATAAAGGCATATATGATTCAAACCTTACAAGGTCTTGACTATCTTCATTTCAATTGGATACTCCACAGAGATTTAAAGCCTAATAATTTATTGGTAAATTCAGAAGGTGTTTTGAAAATTGGAGATTTTGGTTTGGCAAAATTTTTTGGGTCACCTAATAGGATAAATACTCATCAAGTGGTCACAAGATGGTACAGATCACCTGAATTACTTTATGGTGCTAGACTTTATGGGACTGGAATTGATATGTGGGCAATAGGTTGTATATTAGCTGAGCTTTTATTACGAGTGCCATTTTTGCCTGGTGAATCTGATTTAGATCAACTCACTAGAATATTTCAGGTATTAATACATTGATCTAAAATAAGCCTGTCCAATTTGAGTTTTGCAACTAAAACACAAAGTCATTGATGCAACAAATCAATATACCTAGAATTTCAAGCACTTGTAAAGTATTGATATGCATTTGAGCAATGCTTACCAATACTTTACAGTCTATGAAATCTTACATTGAATTTTTTTGCATTGATGGCTTTGCGTTTTGTGGCTCCAGAGTTCAAATTGAACAAGCCTGATTTAAAATATATAATTGAAAAGTTATTTATTTGATCTTGATGTATTCTGTTATTTAGACATTAGGCACTCCAACGGAAGAAACATGGCAGGGGATGACTGAATTATCAGATTTTATTCAATTCAAACCTTTCCCTGGAACGTCTTTGAAGCATATATTTACTGCTGCTGGCGATGATCTTCTCGATTTAATTGCTAGTCTTTTGAATGTGAATCCATTGGAAAGGTGTACATGTGATCAAGCGCTGCAAATGCCATACTTTAGTAATAAACCTGCACCTACAGCTGGACCTAAATTGCCTCTACCTATGATCATTAAACGTCAACGTGAAGAAAGACCTAGTCTGAAAAGAAAACTGTTAGAATCAATAGAAGGAGCTTCTTTAGCTAAAAAATTGCAATTTTAATTGTTATGATTGATGCTAGAACAAGTAGACAAAATAGGAAATTATTCATTAAATACAACAGTGCCAATTTCAGAAAATTAGAAAGATTTCTAATTGTGATATTGTATGTCGAGATATTGCGTATCATTGTAACCAATAATTTTATATAAAAGTATTACTCGTACATACAAAAGCAATGTAGGCTTATATTTTAATATCTAATAATTTAGAATTTTTTATGGCATTCTATTGAAATTCTAATAGTAATTTGTGTGATAATACAAAAAATCTTTTCTTGAATAAATTTCCAGTAATTGATGATTGATGAACATGACTGAGAAATGGGAGATGCATGTAAACAGAGATGGTAATAATAACACATATTAAAAAATATATATGTTATGCTGGCAATATCTTTATTAACTTAAAAATTAATTTAAAACAGGATATTCGAACGATTTTATAAATCGTAAAATATCCAGTTCGAAGGAATACGAAAAAAAGATTGGTTAATCGCAAAAAAATATTAATTTTGTGAAGTTTTCGTTTATGCTAGGCTGATTTTCACAATAAGTACGGATAGTAGTATAATAATCACACGATACACACAATTATTTCATATACTGTGATTTTATCACGAGTGTCTGGTGTTAGATTTTACAGAAGAAGAGAGATAAATCACAAACGTTTGTACGTTTTTTAGATAATGTTCATACTTGATTGTACTGCATTGAAATTACTTGTCTTCAATGTATATTTGTCTTCATTATATGGAGACAAATGTATGTACATACATGAAATTGTAAATCAATATTCTTGTGCAACAAAAATGCAATTTAAAGAGTACAAGATTATTCTTAATTTATTATATTAATGCATACATCAAAACGAATTGACCGTATTTTGATTTAATGAACGGAAGAAATCTCTTACCATTCTACTTCTGTTGTATGAAACAGAAAAGTTAATGCCTTAATTTAACCGACAAAGGCCGTGTGAAAATTTCGAAAAAATTACTAAAATTTTACATATTTTATACATAAAAGCGGAATGTAGGATAATAGATGTTTTAATTTTGAAGCAACAAATTTATGCTTACACGTGCCTTATTCTTTAAACTGTGAATTCAACATGGAATAAGAAATCCTTTATAAAATAATTATGTTATATGCGTTTGGAAATTAGAGCCATTATTAATTTACATATACAAATTAATACATTAAGTTATAAGATTATTTCAATCTATGACAAAGCATATTTTATTTACATGTTTTCTCTTGCATTGTCAGCTATATTACAGTTATTATAAGTATACCTTCGTTTTAGACCAATATCACAAACATCTTAAAAGTAACAGATAAATTAGAAATAATTTAATTAAAAACGTATCTTAAAAAGCACCATAGTGTGCTGTAAATGATAAATTTATGTTAACATATTGTACTGTGGTCCCTTCCGTTTGAATTTAAGTATAAGAAATATTTATATTTTATATTATTTCTCCATGTGATTAACATAGTAATTACTCCTAAATGTTTATGTATGGATTTATAATAATACTAAATATTAAAATTTTTAGGAAAGATGCATTGATAAAAACGATAAGATAATTTGCATTAAAATAAAAATGGAACATCTGTCATATGTAACTATGTGTGTCACTACTCAGTATCATGATGAAGTTCTTTATTTTGTTGCTTATGAATAATGGATATTGTATGTGTGTGTGTGTAAAATTTGTGATTGATTAAACTTCTTTAATGCATATATTGTACAAAGGAAATTTAATATTTGCATAAAATGCGCCTCTGCATGACTCTATCATGAAATATTTAATCTTAATATATTTTTAATAGAGCGAACAATTTATACATTTAAGAAGCAAAGATATTAAAAATATTCCTACATCTTTCTCTTTCTCTGTACAAATAAATAAATAGTATTGGAAAGGAATAATATATACTGTTTAGGATATAATAGTAGATTAATATATGTGATAAGTAAAATGGAATTATTGAAAGTTTATTTCAGACAAAAAAATATTAAAATTATATTTTTAAATATACTTAGCTATATCGAAAATATACTTTTTCAATAATAATATAATGTATTGAGTTGGAGGAAAAATTCTGCAGTATTTTATATATACTAGCTCAAAAAATTTATATTTAAAAAAATTAGCGATTATATTATTCAATAAAGCAATTCAAATTCAACTTTAAAAATCTAATTTTGTTAATTGTGGTACGATTTTTAACATAGTTATAAGAAATTAAAATCAAATATTCTTTTACATAACTCGGGAATAACTTGGGAATAAAAAATCGTAGGAACATTTTTTAAAAATAAATTTTGAGAAAAAACTTTTAAGCTTTTACATTAGTCAAAAATTTTCGCAATTTTTTTTATACGACTTATCCACAAAATAAGAAAAAAAATTCCCTTTTTTCAGTTTGTAGTTTTCTATATGTAAAAATATTATCAAATTTACACGAACTAAAAAATTATAAAAATCTTTTGAAAGTGGAAACTTCAAGTTTTAAAACTTTTTTTTAAATTAAAATTTTGTTCATTTTTAACTAAGATATTGTACATATAGTTTTGAGGTAACAAAAACTGCAGAACTTTTTCTTCAACCTAATATATCTATATTATATTTGTTCATATTATTATCAAATATTAGCATTTTAAGAAACATGTACAAATAAATATTTATTTGTACATATGTTTCTTAGAACAAATATTCAGAAAAATAGGCATAAATTACTACAAGAAATACAAATTAATGAAATTTTTATAAAATTGTTTCTCAAATCTGTAGTATGTGTTAACGTTTAGTATAGATAATCGATAGAGACATGCAGCAGACAAATATA